CCTGCCGCGAGCGTTGCCATCCTTGCCAATCCCGATGAGATGGCAGACGAGCAACACACCGTGCCAGAGGTCTCCTGAACGGACTACTACTTCACCACACCGCAACAAACGACGGCCCACTCCATCAAGACTGCCCGCAAAATCCAGATCCGATCCAAGTCGACCACCCCGACCACCACCAGCAGTGTTCCTGGCTCTACAGCATCCCTGAGCAACCCGACGCTGTCCGATCGCAGCAAGTCCGATCACGCCTAGTCGGATGCGTAGACACGCCCACGTCTGTCACACCAACTTGTCTGATCGCACATAGTATGATGCGTAGATGCGTGTGTGTCTGTGTGCACGGTGTATGCACAGCATGCAATACTTTCCGCTAGCAATAGGGCCAGCATCATCGCTCCACGTACAGCTCCTCCCCCCCCCCACCCCCTGATGCTTCGTTGCCACGACAGCGGCAATGGGAACCGCCTGGTGGCGTAATGGCCGCTTGCCCGCTCGGTGCCCGTAGGAATGCAGCAGCATGCATGCAGATCACATCAAACTTAACCCTACATACCTACATGCTTTGCTAGCAACTTTCCGCCTGACACCACAAACTCGTTACAAGAGAAAACCCGTTCCACCTGTCCCGTTCCAACAATCTACCAATCTTCGACAACCGTTCTCTACCCTGATTATTTATTATCTAGTTTTGTCTGTTCGGAATATGACTGTACTCATCTCCAGCCCTCTCATCCCCCCCCCCCCTCTTGTTTGTACTGTGGCTACGTGCTTTAACATCGGGTACTGTAGGAATGTCTTCGACCTCTTTGTGATTATTCATGACAAACTGACTATGTCTCACTCCCCCTCCTTGAATCGATATTTGAGCTCGTCTAAATTTACTTTTTTTTCGCACTTAACTTTAACATGCAACAGCAGCACTGTCACGTTCTCATCTTTCTAGAATTCAATGACAGAGTTCGTGATGGACACCAGGGGGTAATAATAACACGGTCTTTTAGTACTCCCTGACTAAGTCTCCCCCCCCGGCCCCCCCCCCCCCCCCACCTAGAATCAATATATTTGAGCTTGTCTAAATTTACTTTTTTTTTGTACTTGATTTTGACATGCAACAGCAACACTACGTTCTCATCAGGGAGTCGTAAAATACGGTATTTTACGACTCCCTGGTTCTCATCTTTCCGAATTCAATGACTGGAAGGGTAGTTTCGTGGTGGACATTAAACACGCCGGGGAGTCGCATAATTATGCTATTCCTTGGGGCAGATTTCGACTCCTCGCCGGGGAGTTCTGCATGCATTTGCTCAGAGGCTGTGGAAGAACGGGTGGAGGTGATGGAATGATCAGGGTGCCAAGCATCCTTGAAGAAGTGAATCTTTTTAGAACAACAGCTAGCTGCCATCTACGGTTACACCAGGCATTTAGTAAGATGCAAAGACGGCATGCAGGAGGTCGAGAACAGGGATGACAATACACGCACAGTCATGATATTATTTAGATTACACTGGATTTCACACCAGCATGCCGTGGGAAAGACGAACAATGCATTTTTAAATTAATCTCTCGCTTCTGGATGCTGTGCAATCTCATTATCTGCTTCTGATAGAGCTGCCTGGCTCGAAATTGTCAACAGATGCGTTGACCTCATGCAATGAGTGGTATGCGAACTGTCATTATTATTACCGTGGGAATCGAGGAGTACAGTCGAGTCATGATGGTATTACCAGGGAGTCGTAAAATACCGGTATTTTACGACTCCCTGGTATTACTTATAAACCGTGTGTTCTTTTAGTACTCCCTGATTAATTGACACAGTAAAAGTTAAAACCGGTTGTAAGCAACCTTTGTGTTTAGCGACCACCTGCTCTTAACGACCGTTTCTCCGTGCACCGACAGTTCTACTACAGTAGAGTCGCGCGCCCAAGAACGTTGTTCCCAAGGGGTTAGCCTGGGACGTTCTTATTTTTCAGCAATCTGGCTGCGTTCTTATAGCACGTTCTTAGAAACAATCTGTACTGGATGATATTATGCATCCCACAAACTACTGCCAGAAAACCAACACCGCCGTTCTTAGCTTTAGGCTGTGGCGTTCTTAGAATTTCAGGCTGGACGTTCTTGGGCTCCACGTTCTTCAGCGCGCGCGCGCGACTCTTCTGTAGTATACAGACACTGGGACCTGGTTCTAAAGACCACCTGGCTTTAACGACCGCTTTTGCTTGCACCGTGGCGTGGTCGCTTAATTAAACCAGGTGCACCTCCACCACCAGCGAACCCGCAGCACCAGTAGCACGAGCACCTCTAGCACCAGTACCTCCAGCACGAGCATCTCTAGCACCTCCAGCACCAGTAGCACCAGCACCTCCAGCACGAGCACCTCCAGCACCAGTACCTCCAGCACGAGCATCTCCAGCACGAGCACCTCCAGCACCAGTAGCACCAGTAGCCCTTCCACTAGCGATACAAGCAGCCGTGACAAGCACCACCAGCACCACCAACAGTAACAGCACACCGTGGACAGACGTCGCGGTTGTCATGCACACCAGATTTCATTATTCAATAATATTATTCTTACTTCAAAGCAGTTATGATAAAAGCACTTTGTGAATAAAAAATGAATAGGCTGAAGGGAGAGAGCTACATAGAGATTGATTAAATGCAAATCTGCTAGGCCAGCCTTAAGGGTTGATTCTCCCCCAAAACTGGAGACGAAAATAACCTTATGGGTAGATAGATTCTTCGCCAAAGCTGGAGATGAATGTAATACTTGCGGCTCACAACGCTACAAGCCAGTCGGTACATAATCCATAAACTGGACTGGCAGACATTTTAGCAAAAAAGGCTAACATAGTCGCTCTTCTCCCGGGAAGAGACTGACTCACACGCGCGCACGCACGCACACACACACACACACACGCACACGCACACACACACACACACAGTACACATGCACACACGCTACCCACCCACACCCACTCACACTCACGCACACACACACACACACACACACACACACACACACACACACACGCACGCGCACACGCACGCGCACACGCACACACACACACACACACACACACACACACACACACACACACACACACACACACACAGTTGCCTCGCATGATTTCCAGAACTGGGGCACATGCACAAAAGCCGGGAAGGATAACAATTATGTAAATTCCGTATATTCGAAGAGATACATATAGCATGATTCGCAAAATTAATAATGTTAATCAACTTCATTTACAGCATGCGTACATGTAAGACGCAGTATTAAACGACCTTGCTAAACAGATGCTACGCGCTATCTATAATGCCGCTTGGTGCTTGCATCCTCACAACGGCATCAGCTCGTCTGGTTTCTCTTGGTAGATGGAGAGCACGTCAACGACGGAGGCGTACTTGACACTTCCGACGCGGCGAGCTAACACGACGTCAAACAACGTGTATGTGCTATCGGACGCGGAGGCAATGGCGAAGCGAGACGCGCGGTCTGGCTCCACGCGCACACCGAACACGCACAGCGGCACCGACGCCCCGGTGTCGTTGACAAACGCGTAATGGCCGTTGGGCATGGACAGGAGAGAACGAGGGGCGCCGTAGCTCACCGAGCCCTTGCCGTCACTCGTGGCGACGGCAATGGCGTCTCGCTTGTCGCTGACCAAGCGCGCGTGGAGCTTCTCAAACGCCTTGCACGCATCGAGGACCTGACTTGAGGACAGGCTGCTGAGCTCGGCGCCTGTCCTGGAGTCAATGAGAACGAAACCACCGCTTGCAGAGGCTTGGACACGATAGAAAGCAACGCTGTGAGGATCCAGAATGCAGTTGAAACGACTGAGAGGATACATGCCACCATTGTCCGTGGCGACGACTAATTCGCCGGCAAGCGTCTTGAGCACAATCTGGCCGGCGCTCAGTCCTACGACGTCCTGGCCCTGCTGGCCCACTAGGGATGTTTTGTTTGGCACCGAGTAGCCCTCACTACTTGCCATCCACAAGGATGGTAGTCTTTCTCGGTGTGCACCCGTAGCACCGGCAGGGACGTTAGATTGCCCAGCCCTCGGCGCTGGGTTGGTCCTCTGGCGAACGCTGGCGAACGGGTCGGGCACCTGCTGCGCCTCCGCTGCCATGGCTGCCCAGGTGTTCCGCGAGATGATCGAGTCTCCGTCGTTCTCCTCATGCACGTATTCCTCCTCGCCCCGGTCGGCGACGGTTTCCGGGTGGAGGCGAGCCTCCTCGCCAGTGGCCGCCATGTAGCCAGCAAACGCGCTGAGCGGCGGAAGACCAAACGGATCGGCTGGTGTCGGCCGCTGCTGAGGAGCGGCATTGCCGCCGATGCTGGCGTTCTGGCTGGCGTCATCAGCACCCGCCGCCAGGAGGTCCTCAAGATCGCCATTGAAGCTGAGCAGGGACGGGTTGGAGTAGATCATTAAGTTCGGGTTATCAGAATCCACACGCTGCGCCGCCGCCTTGCTGGTCGCGTGGACAGACGAGGCGGACGATTTCTGCGTCACCTTTGCGCTGCCTTTGGAGTTCATCGGCGACAGCGCCTGTGGCGTGGCGAACGTCAGCTGCGAGGATAGCGATAGCTCGTCGGCCCCAGTCCCCTTCTTCACTCGTCCGAGCATCGTGTGTGTAGACGCCTTGCTGTGAAGTGTGCTTTTGTGCCACGTGTCGTTCGCGAATTCGTCCGGGAAGCAGCTGCAGAGACAAGTGTGGGAGTACAAAACGCGGTGTGAACGGCAAGGTACGACGACAGCATTACCGTCAGCATACTGACCAGAGAGAAATGATACATAGCTGGTGTGCTCACCCCTCCCCCCCCCTATTCTTCCCCTCCTCCTTCCCCCTCCCCCACCACCTGTCTCTCCCCTCCCCACCACCTGTCTCCTCCCCCCACCCCCTCCCCCACCACCTGTCTCCCCCCTCCCCCACCATCTGTCTCTCCCTCCCCTCATTCTTCCCCCCTACCAGTCGATCTCCCTGTCCTTCCCTTCCCACATACTGTAAAGTGAGAAACTTTCGCTAAAGAGTAAATTTCGCTTTTTCCGCGACCATCACACATTCGCGAATATAAAACGCCACAAACCTCTCCGTACATTGATTGTAGACAGTACAAGATCCGACTGGAGAGATAGAATCGCAAAAGTTTCTCATCGTGAAAAGCCAAATTTATGAAAACGCCAAATTTGCGCGCCGCGAAAGTTTGTCTCTTCACAGTACACAAACAGCGGCGGCCTGCAATGACTCGCCTCACTTTTAAAAAGCACACACGCAAACCGGACCGTCTCTTACCTGGGGTCCATTTCACCAATGCTGTCCAGCTTGTCATCGGAAGCCTTGCGCTCAAAGACAATGACTTCCTTGACGGTGCGCTGGACGGTGAATCTCAGATAGAACAGAATGCAGAGCAGTATGGCGGCAACAACAGCCAGGACGATGATGACTATAAGCAGGATATTGTCAATTGACTCTACAGAGCTCCGCGACCCTTCAGGCAAGCATGACACAACAGCGAGAGAAAGGCAGCATCAACAACAGCAGCATCATCAGCATCAGGAACGGCACCGTGACTATATTCAAACAACATGGCTCAAACCTGAAAAGCAAGTTTCGACATACAATGGGTAAACGCGGCAGGCGGCGTGTTCATAGGTTCTACTGGCGTTGCTTAAGGCTACTACTCATCCAGAACTGAGTTTCTGCATTCGCATGAGTGCTCTCCCCGCCCTCAACGTCCAAGGCGCGGGCTCAGCTCGCGAACGGAGAATATATTCTTAAAAACCTTTGGGCTTTCACCAGTCGAATTCGCCTGGTATGCACATAACGCACATTTAGAAATCATAACTTTGGTTACGTAGCGAGTCTGGCCTTCAAACTTTAGCCGCCCATGTCCCTGAAGCATAGGATGGCAAGTAGGGAAAGTCCCAGGCATGGCTCACATACAAAAAAAACTGAGAACCAAGCATGCTCAAGATGCTTCAACCCTGAAAATTTGAACAAAATCGGACAGAAAGTGGTTTTGACCTCCGATACTTTTGGCGATATAGGCCTGAGCAACCTTAAAGACAGCGGGTGCTTACCTGAGCTGACGTACTGTCCACAGGTTACCCCGTTGCCCTCCGTCTCCCTGGACGTGCTGTGGTCTCCCGCTGTATGAAGCATGGGGGCGCACGAGCAGGTGAACGCCCCAATCGTGTTTGTGCACAGCCCGTGGTCGGGATCGCAATCGTTCTCCCCTAGCGCACACTCGTCCTTGTCAACACACTGCCGCGTGGTCGTGTTCCACGCAAAGCCCTTAGGACACTGGCACAGGAAAGAGCCAAACGTGTTGTTGCATTCTGCCTGCAGACGGCCAGTGCTAGTGCATAGGTTGCCCAGTTTGCACTCATCAGCGTCCTGGCACTGTCCGCCGTCGCTTGTAGCTGTGGTGTTGACCTCGAATCCGGGCAGGCACGGGCAAATGTATGAGCCGTCTGTGTTTTTGCATTGCGTGGTGACGTTGTTAGGACAGGGTGCAAGGTCGACAAGTGTTCCATTGGCGAGGACCGTCTGGTCAAGACTACACTCATCTATATCTGTGCACAATGTTGATGAATTGCCTGTGAGAGGAGGGAGAGAAAAAGAGAGAGAGAGAGAAAGAGAGAGAGAGAGAGACACCTCAGACCTCAGACCTCAGACATGCCCATCGCGTAAGCGATGATAGCGAACAGCTATGTTAGACATAGCAACTTGTGCTGGGATTACACCATTCAACAGCTTGCAAGGCTGATGAATTGACCGCCACTATTTTTAGCCTGGTATCCACCACACAGCTGTTTGAAGTGACTTTTTCTGGCTAGTGAATCCCCATTTTTCATTTTTCCATTTTTTTCTACACACACACACCACACCACATACTCCGGCATACACTGGCTGTTGGTAACCACCCAGGAGAATGAAAGAAAAGTCAGGAAGAGTCTGAGAAAGAGAAGAAAGACGTGTGTGACCATAATCGTCAGAGAGAGAGAGAGAGAGAGAGAGAGAGAGAGAGATGTCGCGTACGCGAGCTTCGTGATTTGAATCTCGATTACTTAGTTATAATTTTACTACTTCCCTTTTTCACGTCGGCTCTACGCGACGTCATTTGATTTCCCCAGCTCCGCTTGTGAGGCGCATGTGCCATCCTTTTTCGGGGCTTTTTGACTTTTACAGTTTTGGAGAGAGAGGCAAAGATAGAAGCTTGAAAGTATTTACTATTTATGGCAAGGTCGCTGTGATGAGTGTGAGTTCGTGTAGAAGCATGTAGCCCTTTAGATGCAAGAGTGAACCCAGGGCGCAGAGGCGAAAGTGTTCACCACATTTTGGTGCCAAAACCCGATCCTACGAGCAAATATGGCGGATCCATCGGCTGGGCTACAAACCAGGAAACGGCGCACGACGAGCCGTTTCAAAACCCTGGCAGAACTGGAAGTGGACTTAGACAAGGCCATCGGCGATGCAATTTCGGAGACCACGATTACCTCAACGAGGCAGGTAATTATGGAATTTGACCAACATTTAGAGGAATCTAATGAGGCACTAGACAAGTACACGGAAACCCTGCTTTCGTTCAATCCGAAGAAGCAGGACGACAAAGATATGAAGCAAAGGGAGTTGGCAGAACTTGGTGACATGGAAGAGGATATCAGAAAATGGAAAAAAAAATCAGTTACACTCAAAAGCCGAATTATACAATTTGATCAAGTGCATGGAAAACAAAGCACAGAATCTAGTAATAACACACTTGGAACCCACACACGGAATTTGGAGAACATACTCACGGAACTGGTTGATCTAAATAAAGCAAACATGTCTCAGGGTCAGACCAGCCAGACTCCCAGCAACTCCACTGGGGTTAGGTTACCGAAACTCGAGTTGCCAAAATTCAATGGCGATATTCTCCAGTGGAATGGATTCTGGGACGTTTTTCAACATTCGGTGCACAAATCACAAATCTCCAAGGCAGAAAAGATGAGCTACTTGAAAGGTTGTCTTACAGGCGGTGCAAGGGATGTTTTAGAGGGCATGCCGCTAGATGATTCAAATTATGATGGTGCTGTTCAAATGTTGAAGGAGCGGTTTGGGAAGCAGGAACGCGTTGTCAATGCTCATTACAAATCACTAATGGCAATTCCACCGGCAGAAAACAACACCACCGCACTAAGACAACTCCACACACAGATCGAACGGCATTTGCGATCACTGGAGGCTGTTGGAGAAGACATGAACCAAAAAATCTTCTTGTCCATTGTCATGGCAAAGCTGCCAGAAACTGTTATTTTCAACTTGGAAATCACACGCGGAAACAGTACCTGGAATGTCCACGCTCTATGCAAAGCTCTGTTGCGATATGTCGAAGCAAAGGAAACATCCACTGCACACGCCGACAGTAGGCTAGCCACAGACAGCCCACACGGTATTGGCAGTTCGCCTAGCTACACACGTTCATCGGCAGAAGCTCTACTATCACACACAGCACAGCGGTCACCACCCCGATGCTTTTACTGCAAAGATACCCACTTTACAGACGAATGTACGAAGTGTGTGACACTAGAGCAGAGGAAGGCAAAGACAGAAAACCGGTGCTTCGTCTGCCTTCGGCCAGGACACACCGCACGAAACTGCCACAATCCCCGACCATGCTATCACTGTCGACGCGACACCCATCACAGATCCTTGTGCCCGGAGAAATTCGGAGGCAAAAGCACAAACGCACTGAATGGAGATGCGAAAGCATTTCAATCAAGATCTGCAAACGCACGGTCCGAAACAGCAACACTTGCTGATTGCGAAATTAGAAAACCTGAGCCAATGGAAATTCACACAGTGAGCGACAGAGACCAATCGGCTGTGCTTATGCAGATGGCTTTAGCTGATCTCACAGATAACGACAGCAAGCGGTCTTGCCGGGTGCGGGTATTTTTCGACACCGGCTCTACACGGTCCTTTATCAGCGAGGCGACCCAGAGCACCTTGAATGCCGACGTCATCGGGGAAGATGCCCTGTCGATCGCTACGTTTGGCTCAAAGAAGAGGGAGACCAAGGTCTTGAAACGGGTCCAAATCCAAGTGAAGACCATCACACACACACACACACACACACACACACACACACACACACACACACACACACACACACACACACACACACACACACACACACACACACACACACACACACACACACACACACACACACACACACACACACACACACACACACACACACACACACACACACACACACACACACACACACACACACACACACACACACACACACACACACACACACACACACACACACACACACACACACACACACACACACACACACACACACACACACACACACACACACACACACACACACACACACACACACACACACACACACACACACACACACACACACACACACACACACACACACACACACACACACACACACACACACACACACACACACACACACAGAGTGAGAGATAGAGAAAAGAAAGCAGAAAGAAAGAGAGGGAGAGATTGATGGTGAGGAGCAGAGAAAGCACATTCAAGCAGAGAAAAATGTAAAAATCACGGTTCGCGGTTTTTCGCATCCGTAGGAACGCCATCACCCTTCAAGGATCAAGGCGTAGATGCAGCTCCTAAAGCGGTGGGGAGGCAAGGAGATCAGACCCACCACCAAAATGGTCAACGACAAAGAGTCCCATTCGCTGCATCCACTAGCATAACGTGTTACAGCAAACTACAGATTCGTGCCCGCGAGCCACTTGCTGTCATGACGCAACCTACTGTTAAAAAGCCTTACACCGTATAGATAGTACTCGCTTATCCGGTCCTCTTTTATCCGGTCCTCTTTTATCCGGATCCCTTGCAATCCGGAAGAAAACACAGTCAGACCTCGCTTAACCGCACACATCCGTTTTCCACAAAAATATCCGAATAGGCGAGGGAACCGGATAATCGAACACACACACTGTGTGTATGCATGGCAAATGCTGTAAATCGGTAACCAACAATTTTCTTCCGGATGGCGAGGGATCCGGATAAAAGAGGACCGGATAAGCGAGGCCTGACTGTAGCTGGTTGCAGGTTTATAGCATGTGTAATGCATCCAACATATCCGCTGTTCGGTTATCCGGTTCCCTCGCCTATCCGGATATTTGTTGTGGAAAACGGATGTGTGCGGTTAAACGAGGTCTGACTGTATATGCAACGAAGTGCTAAATCCAATGAGGTAGCGAGGAGAAACCTGTCGTTAGAATAGAAAACATCTTACAGAAATCAATACTTGCACTGTTGCTAGTGAGCGTTGAGAATGAGTGAGAATCATTACCTTTGGTACACGTAAACTCGTCAATTTCAGGAAATCGTTATTTCCACGGCTCGTTAGGATAATGGCTTTTACAGTACAGTCAGACCTCGCATAACTGCACACATCCGTTTGCCACAAAAATATCCAGGTAGGCGAGGGAACCGGATAATTGAGCACACATACTGTATGTATGCATGGCATATGCTGTAAATCGGTAACCAGCGGTTTTCTTCCGGATGGCGAGGGATCCATATAAGATTGTCCCTCCAGGAAATCGCGATTCTACGGATGCAAAAAATTTCGCGATTCTGGTCCAGACCCGCGATTTTCTGCAATATCCATGATTTCCCGCGTTTTTTGTTGTTGTCTGCAATTTTTCTACATCTTCTGCACTTTTTACGCAGTGCTTTCCATAAATCCATGATCATGTAGGCTATTTGCACAGTACGACTTGTAGGTTCGCAACAAATTTCGTGATTTTGTCCAAATTCGCAATTTTCTGCAAAGAATTTCGCGAATTCCTGGCAAGTTCGGCACTTTTCGCCGCATTTGTTTCTGTTTTCTGCCGCAATTTTGTTGCGCAAGTTTTCGAGAACTCTTCCGCAAATTCCCACAGGGACAGATAAGTGAGGTCTGACTGCACAGTGAATACTCTATCTGTGTACAAACTCCCTCTAGAGTAGAACCCGGGTTAAGGGTCACACCGGATTAGGGATCGGAGCCCGGGGGGGGGGGGGGGTCACTTGGCATGTACATTGTGCGGGTGATCCTTATACCGGGATTTAATTTCCGGCCCAAGGGGGGGGTCACCCGTCGGTTTCCGAGGAAGCCGTAACTTTTTTTCGCACCAAACTATTTTTCCGGAGTCCATCTACTCACAAGAAGTCGTTTTGCACACCTTTTTGCCCATCCCTGCACAACTGAGTCCAGCTATGTCCGCGCAGAGTTAGGTGGATCCCTAACCCGGGTTCTACTTACACAACCACCCTGGAAAGCATTACTATCAGCCATCCGCACATGCATTCGCATGCATAAACAAATTTCACGGTCCGCGCGAGACTCGCCTGGAGGCCGAGTTTTCGCCCATCCGTAGGAACGCCACCACCCTCTTGGATCAAGGCGCAGATGCAGCTCCTAAAGCGGTGGCAAGTGACTAGTTCAGACCCACCACAAAGTGGTCAAAGACCGAAAATCCCATTCGCTGCCTTTCATGTTTCCCTCGTGCCAGGCCACGAGTTCCCAATTAGCTGTGGACCGCAGCAGTAATGGACTCATTGCGCAATGACGTAATTTTTTACCATAAACACCCCCACACAGCCACCTGAGCGTGGTCGTCTGGGGTGTTGAACAGTGCATTCCTGGTCCCAGCGTGCATGCACTCACAAGCATTTCTCATGCATTCCATATTTGGCAGTGCGCAATTGGGTCTATTTTGTAATCACTGATCACCACCGAGGATACAGGAGCACTGCAAAGACGTGGGTAGTATTGATTATTCTATTTACAGAGGCAATATGCTTTGGTTCTGCAAGAGTGCTCAATGCCTGATTCAGGCAGAGCGGCGTACACAAAGGCACACAATGAAAACCTTGGCAAATTTATTCTGTTGTGACTCCGAGTTTCATGGCTGAACCAATCATCAGACAACGATAATGGAATAGGAGGCAGCGCTGGTATATCTAAGTGGAGAGAGGTGTGATAATACGATAGCGAGAGGAGTAATCGCGTGAATGTATACAGGGACGGGCTATTTCAGAGGCAGATGCAGTAGGCGCAGGTCTAGCACTAACAAGTACGCGCTTGATGTCGCTCATACACCACACACACACACACATACTAACACGCACACACATAGTAACACCCACACACACATACACACATACACGCACACACTAACACACACATACACCCACCCACAACACCCTAACTTGCACACGGGCGCACGCACACACAGGACACCCACCCACCCACAACACCCTAACTCGCACACGCACAAACACACGCACACACGCATATACACACACCTATAGACACATGTCCACACGTATAAGCGCACACAAACTCCTGCAATCACGCGTCTAAAAACCCGCAGCGGTCATAGTGGTGGCCAGCAGAAACTTGCGCTGGTGAGGGCATTTAGATACCAGCTCACTTCTCTTGTTTAGGGAGGTAGCTTTTGAAGCTTTCAGGATGTGGAACTTTTCGGTTAAGCATAGGCCACACTTCTTGCTGATGTTACTGTACGAAGGTGCTCTATCCTTGATCTCCCATCTGATGTCGAATCCGCGGTTCTCGTTTTTCAGATCCCAGATGTGCTTGGACAACTTAGTCGATGCGGCATACTTTTCATGGCGGAGGTCCGAAGTGTGTTTGTTGTAGCGCTGCTTGAATGTGGTAGCAGTCATGCCGACGTAGGTCTTGACTTCGTTGGATGCTACATGCGCCTCGTACACGACGTCGGAAGACTGGCAGTCACCGTTGAGGGGGCACGACGCCTTGACCCGACAATTGCATGGCACAACTGGCGGTCGCGAGTGAAGTTTTGCAGCATTGTGCCCTTTGATAATCGACGCTACGTTCTTCATACAGCTGTAGCTTACTTTTGTTGTGTTCTTGTTAAACACCTTGTGTAGCGCCGACCCTTCAGGGAAGTGTTTCTTGACGAGGTATAGAAACTTTGCGCCAACGTTGGTTTTGACCGTGGTACTGTACGGCGGGTTAAACCAGATGACGTCGCGGCTGCGCCCTTTCTTCGCTTTTTTCTTCTTGTTGCTCGGTTCATCCTTGTATGTCATGGTTTTCGGGTGGCCACTTGAGGCCAGTGCGTCCTCGTATAACGTTTTAGCATCGTTGAACACTTCCTCATTGCATGAGATACGTTGAAGCCTCTTGTTGATGCCAATGGGTATTTGTCTCAGCACCTGCGGTGGGTGACAGGACCGCACATCGACGTACAGGGGTGTACTATTCGGTTTCCTGTATGGTTGGAATGTTCCGGTGGCGAGATTCAGGGTCACATCCAAGTAGTCGACGATCTTCTTGTTGGTTTCGATTGTTATTTTTAAGCCGTGTGCTTGGAATATCTGTATGATCTGTTTGCGCGTGCGGTCGGCATCATGACCCGTGGCGTCCTTCATTATCGCTAGTCCGTCGTCACGGTAAAGACCCACGCACTGGTCGCCCAGGAGTGGACGGAGTTTGCTGAGGATTAAAGCCCCAACAAGCTCGCAGGCTTCTGCGCCGTCGTACGACCCCATTGTTACGTCGAATGACCCGTCCTTCTCCTTCTTCATCCATGCTTTGCCGCCGTCGAACAACAATGACTTCCGTGCGTGCAGTATCGTCTCAATGTCCTTCTTGGACATTGGAACATGCGTCCCGGCGTACGACAGGGCATCCAGCAGAAGGTCTTTCGTTATGCTGGGGTAAAACTCGACGATGTCGAACACGACGAAGGTGTACCGCGGCTTGTCTTCAATGCCCTTGAACCACTCGATGACCGCTTGCGTGTTCTGCCACAGATTCTCACATACGCTGCTCCGCATGGGGCCGATAACACCATCCAGTATGGATTTGCTTACGACGCCTATTTCGGACTTGGCGGGGTTAATCAGTCTGCATTGCAGCTTGTCATGGAAGTCGGCTTTATGATCCTTTAATGTGACGAACGCTTGTGCCTTGGCCAGACATTCCATTCGGTCATCCAGGTGCAGATCGGCAGCTATATCGCGGGCTTCGACATTAATCGCCGTGTAGTCGGTGTCTGGGGCGAGTTTGTACTGCTTCGTCAAGTCCGAAATAGGCGTCGTAAGCAAATCCATACTGGATGGTGTTATCGGCCCCATGCGGAGCAGCGTATGTGAGAATCTGTGGCAGAACACGCAAGCGGTCATCGAGTGGTTCAAGGGCATTGAAGACAAGCCGCGGTACACCTTCGTCGTGTTCGACATCGTCGAGTTTTACCCCAGCATAACGAAAGACCTTCTGCTGGATGCCCTGTCGTACGCCGGGACGCACGTTCCAATGTCCAAGAAGGACATTGAGACGATACTGCACGCACGGAAGTCATTGTTGTTCGACGGCGGCAAAGCATGGATGAAGAAGGAGAAGGACGGGTCATTCGACGTAACAATGGGGTCGTACGACGGCGCAGAAGCCTGCGAGCTTGTTGGGGCTTTAATCCTCAGCAAACTCCGTCCACTCCTGGGCGACCAGTGCGTGGGTCTTTACCGTGACGACGGACTAGCGATAATGAAGGACGCCACGGGTCATGATGCCGACCGCACGCGCAAACAGATCATACAGATATTCCAAGCACGCGGCTTAAAAATAACAATCGAAACCAACAAGAAGATCGTCGACTACTTGGATGTGACCCTGAATCTCGCCACCGGAACATTCCAACCATACAGGAAACCGAATAGTACACCCCTGTACGTCGATGTGCGGTCCTGTCACCCACCGCAGGTGCTGAGACAAATACCCATTGGCATCAACAAGAGGCTTCAACGTATCTCATGCAATGAGGAAGTGTTCAACGATGCTAAAACGTTATATGAGGACGCACTGGCCTCAAGTGGCCACCCGAAAACCATGACATACAAGGATGAACCGAGCAACAAGAAGAAAAAAGCGAAGAAAGGGCGCAGCCGCGACGTCATCTGGTTTAACCCGCCGTACAGTACCACGGTCAAAACCAACGTTGGCGCAAAGTTTCTATACCTCGTCAAGAAACACTTCCCTGAAGGGTTGGCGCTACACAAGGTGTTTAACAAGAACACAACAAAAGTAAGCTACAGCTGTATGAAGAACGTAGCGTCGATTATCAAAGGGCACAATGCTGCAAAACTTCACTCGCGACCGCCAGTTGTGCCATGCAATTGTCGGGTCAAGGCGTCGTGCCCCCTCAACGGTGACTGCCAGTCTTCCGACGTCGTGTACGAGGCGCATGTAGCATCCAACGAAGTCAAGACCTACGTCGGCATGACTGCTACCACATTCAAGCAGCGCTACAACAAACACACTTCGGACTTCCGCCATGAAAAGTACGCCGCATCGACTAAGTTGTCCAAGCACATCTGGGATCTGAAAAACGAGAACCGCGGATTCGACATCAGATGGGAGATCAAGGATAGAGCACCTTCGTACAGTAACATCAGCAAGAAGTGTGGCCTATGCTTAACCGAAAAGTTCCACATCCTGAAAGCTTCAAAAGCTACCTCCCTAAACAAGAGAAGTGAGCTGGTATCTAAATGCCCTCACCAGCGCAAGTTTCTGCTGGCCACCACTATGACCGCTGCGGGTTTTTAGACGCGTGATTGCAGGAGTTTGTGTGCGCTTATACGTGTGGACATGTGTCTATAGGTGTGTGTATATGCGTGTGTGCGTGTGTTTGTGCGTGTGCGAGTTAGGGTGTTGTGGGTGGGTGGGTGTCCTGTGTGTGCGTGCGCCCGTGTGCAAGTTAGGGTGTTGTGGGTGGGTGTATGTGTGTGTTAGTGTGTGCGTGTATGTGTGTATGTGTGTGTGGGTGTTACTATGTGTGTGCATGTTAGTATGTGTGTGTGTGTGGTGTATGAGCGACATCAAGCGCGTACTTGTTAGTGCTAGACCTGCGCCTACTGCATCTGCCTCTGAAATAGCCCGTCCCTGTATACATTCACGCGATTACTCCTCTCGCTATCGTATTATCACACCTCTCTCCACTTAGATATACCAGCGCTGCCTCCTATTCCATTATCGTTGTCTGATGATTGGTTCAGCCATGAAACTCGGAGTCACAACGGAATAAATTTGCCAAGGTTTTCATTGTGTGCCTTTGTGATTATTCTATTTAATATTATTAAGTGCATTCGCGTGGCGGGATTGCCACACTTGCTTATGCTATTCAGGATAACATGCAGAGATGCAAGAGGGAGAGAAGAGATTTATTACTATTATTTTTTTATGAAAGTGCACATGCCCACATAGAATGGGAGAGAACAACAACAACAACGAACAAAAACAACAACAACATCAAGAGAACATAGGGGACTACAAAGGGCGTGTAGGTGCTATTGAGCTGTGCCGGTGAAGTGAAGTGCGCTCCCCCGACCAATGGTCTCGGGATCAAGGCGCACAATCTGAAAGGCCTTTTTTTCTCCATTTTAATAGAAAAAAGCTTAAAAAAGACACTCACCTTGTCCGGTGTAGCCATGCCCGCACGTACATGTGTAACTAGCCTGAGTGTTAACACACCTCATCGTGGCGCCACACTTGTGAGTACCACGCGCACACTCGTCGACATCTTGACAAGACGCGCCACAGCCGTCGTACCCCGGCGAACAGGAGCAGGAGAACGATCCAGGCAAGTCGCTACACACACCATGAGCACCGCAGTGAGACTTGGACCCTCCGCATTCGTTTATCGCCTTGCAAGCGCCACTGGAGTAACGTTCGTAGCCGGCCTGACAATCGCAGCTGTAGCTGGACAGGTTGCGGACGCAGACGGTGTCCTTCGCCGGGCACAAGGTTTCTAGCCGAGCCTGGACGCACGCGTCGTAGTGGACGCACGCCGATCCGTCTAGAATGTAGCCTGGCTGACACTGGCAGTGCATGCCCCGCCGAGTCGCCGAGCAGAGGGCGTTGTCCGGGCAACTGCCGCACGTCCTGCACGCGTTCTCGGATTTCTCTGCACGTTGAGTGGGTGAGTAACACACACACACACATATATATATATACAAAGAACACACACATTATGCACACACACATGCACACACACCCGTATATACAAAGAACACACACACACACATTATGCACACACACACATCATACAAACACACACACATCATGGACACACACATATACAAAGAACACACACGCATCATGCACACACACACACACACACACACACACACACACACACACACACACACACACACACACACACACACACACACACACACACACACACACGCACACGTATATACAAAGAACACACACACACATGCACACATCATGCACACATCATGCACACATCATGCACACATCATGCACACATCATGCACACATCATGCACACATCATGCACACATCATGCACACATCATGCACACAGGGACATGCAATGATGCAAGCACATACATGTACACACATTGTCACATTGTATAATTGCTGTAAAACCGGAAAGTTTAATAACGACCAAAAAGTTTAACGGCAATAAATAAGATAAATTGTGCACTCATAACAACAGCAAAATGAAGAAAGTCAAGTTCCATAACGTTTTCTTGTGACTGTCATCAGTGGAACGCCGTCACATAAAAATGTAATAACTAAAACACACACTTATATACATGTAGCTAATATGGTTTCAGGTAGAAATACAGCAGCTAACAAGTACAAAAAGCGAAGTTTGCACCTTTGCAATGTGTGAATATAGTGTATGTGAGAAAGGTAGTGGCAGATGAATGTGATACTGTGTGAATGAATGTAATGGTGCGTGTGTATTACTTGAAGAGTGTGAGGTGATACAACGTTTACATTTTTATGTGACGGCGTTCCACTGATGACAGTCACAAGAAAACGTTATGGAACTTGACTTTCTTCATTTTTGCTGTTGTTATGAGTGCACAATTTATCTTATTTATTGCCATTTTACGACTATTGTCTCCTCGTCGATTGTTTAAAAAGTTAAACGTTTTTGTAATTTTCTCATGATTACGTGCAGAGAGATTAACGATGGCTACCTGGCCGCCCATCTGTATGCACATCTTTACACAGACATCTCGCGATAACTTTTCTTCAAACAACGAAAAAAAAGAAGTTGTTTTAAAACGTTGACTCGCTAGACTTTCCGGTCTTACAGTAGGTGTGAGTGACACTCCTGTGATCCCAACATCTATCTTGTAGTAGTAGTAGTAGTAGTAGTAGTAGTAGTAGTAGTAGTAGTAGTAGTAGTAGTAGCAGCAGCAGCAGCAGCAGCAGCAGCAGCAGCAGCAGCAGCAGCAGCAGCAGCAGCAGCAGCAGCAGCAGCAGCAGCAGCAGCAGCAGCAGCAGCAGCAGTAGTAGCAGTAGTTTTTGATTATTTTGAGGGCTGAAACGATCGTGGATTTTCACCTATCAATTACTCTTTGGCTCAAAGATCGATTAATCGATTATAATCGTTAGCAAATAGCGTCAGACTTTTGTGCAAAAGAAATACACTGTTTCCACAAGCTATGTCTTCATAATACCAAAAATCTGCGTCAGTGAAAGAGTAGCTTGGAAACATGGCAGTTTTTGAACTGAATTGAACCTCAGAACATGCACCATACCCTGGCAACTGCATACTCACAGCGGGAACTGATTCAAACTTCACAAAAACAGGTTTTTAGGACCTTTTGGACTCAACCATATTTGTACTAGGGAGAGTCCCAACAGGCTACTGCCTTTTTACTGGGAACCCTAGGTGAACAATAACCATGCTTATGAACAGAGCAAGAGACTGGGTCTGTCGACGTACCTCTCTTGAAAACCCATTTCTCGAACAGCATGAAGGTGTTGGAGGTTCCGCAGGCGATGCGCAGTCCGTTGTGTGCCGCGCCGAACATGGGAATGCGAACGAACGTCGACGAACTCGACGGGTCCGTCTCTCTGATCAACAGCGGCTGGGCGCGCGACGAGAAGTTCCAAGGCGTGTAGCTGCCAGTGTTGGTGACATTGAAGACCGTGTGATTGCAGCGGAAGTGCCATTCCTCGCAAAGCCCGAGCCGAACAGTCTCCACTGGAGAAGAGAGCGGATTTCAGCATGCAGCGGGAAAAAAACAGACATGGACAAACAATAATTTCAGATATGAAACACCCAGCCAAAGCAATTCCGTCTTGTTCTGCCAACGTACCCCACAGTACTACCGGGCGCCGAAGAACGGAGCGTCAAAGAATGACCAGGCTAGAATTTCCCCAAGCACAGCATACCAATGTATACACGGTCACAGAACTGTGCATGCTGTATAAGCAGAACTATTCGTCTGGAATTTAATTTCGTCTTTTTCGTCCAAGGAGCTTTTGGACTAAATTAAATGTAGGACGAATATCGATTTGTCCAGCGTTTCTATACACTCTTATGACCCATGGACGAAATTTTCAACCGGACGAACTCCTTTTCTTTGGAGTTGGACGAAATTATTGACCGACGAAATTTTCTGCCTCAGTCTACAGTAGATTAAAGAGTTGGTGGACAAGCCGTTGATTATCCACACACACACTCTCATTGTAATATCAAAAAGTATTCTTTCTAGACCAAAGAGTGGGATATTTGATAAAATTTAATAACGATAGAAATATTTACGATACTTCTCCAGACGTTTCGTTGTTCTGAACAACATCGTCAGTGGATAAAGAAAAATCCACGGACGATGTTGTTCAGAACAACGAAACGTCTGGAGAAGTATCGTAAATATTTCTATCGTTATTAAATTTTATCAAATATACCACTCTTTGGTCTAGAAAGAATACTTTTTGATATGCATAGATTGTAATACACGAGGAACGGTCTAGGCGAGGAGTCTGACCCCCCCCCCCCCCCGTTCGTTGGCGGCCAGCAGTAGTACTGTACCACATACAGTCGCTAGTTTACAAATGCATGCAATACTCGCTAGCAAGAGTACATAACCCCCCAGAGTGTGCAACTCCCACATACCCTCTTGTCCCGACAGAATTTCAAGTTGACGTCATTATTTATGACGCAATGCTCCTTGCAGCAGTGATTTGCAACATGTGTACGGGTGTCAACGCATCACACGTTTTTCTTTGCAATAATTTGTACAGGATCGATCGGCTTCGGTCAACCACAGGTTCCGGATTCGTCTGATAATCCGTGTACAGTGCGCATTGCATCATCAAAATGACGTCAACTTGAAATTCTGTCGGGACAGCACCCATAGTGGAGTTGCACACTCTGGGGGGTTATGTACTCTTGTCGCTAGCGCCTGGTGTAGCAGCTGGCACGGCTGGTCACGCCGCTGAAAGGCAGGAGCGGCATGCTCGCAGCCAGCGGGCAGCAGCAAAACAACACACTGTGGATGGCTGATACCACCATGAGAATAGAGGTGTCATGCAAATGACTCTTCATAGTACACATACCTCTCAGAAGTCAATAAAATATCACTTTTACCTCTCAGAAGTCAATAAAACATCACTTTGGCGCTCAGAAGTCAAGGAAACATCACTTTTGCCACCCAGAAGTCAATAAAACATCACTTTTGCCCCTCAGAAGTCAATAAAAAAATCACTTTTACCTCTCAGAAGTCAATAAAACATCACTTTGCCTCTCAGAAGTCAATGAAACATCACTTTTGCCACCCAGAAGTCAATAAAATATCACTTTTACCACTCAGAAGTCAATAAAACATCACTTTTGCCACTCAGAAGTCAATAAAACATCACTTTTACCTCTCAGAAGTCCATAAAATTCACTTTTGCCACTCAGAAGTCAATAAAACATCACTTTTGCCACTCAGAAGTCAATAAAACATCACTTTACCACTCAGAAGTCAATAAAACATCACTTTTGCCACTCAGAAGTCAATGAAACATCACTTTTGCCACCCAGAAGTCAATAAAACATCACTTTTGCCACCCAGAAGTCAATAAAATATCACTTTTACCACTCAGAAATCAATAAAACATCACTTTGACAACCGCATCGTGGATGCCGACGCACCCAGCTACGTCCGCTCGAACCTCTCTTGGAACGCCGTATCCAACAGTGCTGCCTCTTCCAAGAAGAGAAAGTACAAGGCGGCCGCAGAGGAGCTGCGAGCATCCTTCACCCCGCTGGTCTGCTCAACTGATGGTGCACTGCACACAGAGTACCGTGCGTATCAACGGCGACTTGCTATGCGCCTTGCCTCCAGGTGGGACAAGTCCTACAGCAACGTCATGTCCTGGGTGCGGATCCACCATCAGTTTGCTGTTTTCCGGGCTGTCGACCTTCGTCTCCGGGGTTCACGTCGTCGTCTCGGTGGGCTGGCAATTTGCGATGGTGTTGGCCTTGGCGTTGGCCGTTAACATTCATGCGTATGGCACTTGTTGTTGTTGTGTGTGTGTGTGTGTGTCTGTTTTCGTTCCTTTTCTTTTCAGCTGTCATTTGCCCTGATCATGCCTCATGCGTGTTTCACAGCATAGTACGTTTCCGCTCATTTTCTTCTTCAACACACGCTAGCTGTATTACTTTGTTCTTGCCCGTACAAGAGGCTTTTCCACGTGGTAAAAAATAAAAAATAAATTAAAACATCACTTTTGCCACACAGAAGTCAATAAAACATCACTTTTGCCACACAGAAGTCAATAAAACATCACTTTTGCCACTCAGAAGTCAATAAAATCGAGAGTACATGAAAACCAGAGTGTGCAGCTTGGGGCCTTTTCTGCTATGGGTATCTGTCACGGCGGAATTCCGTGATTACATCATATTTGGCGCAGATCTGAGGCGGGAAATGGCGTAGTGCGTAAAACTGAGGGCCAGTTGTGCAGAAAGAGACCCGCTTGAATCCTGCTGGTACGCACTACATCACTAAAATGATGTAATCACAGAATTCCGCCGTGACCACAACCCATCCCGGCGAGCTGCACACTCTGGTTTTCATGTGCTCTTGATAAAATTGCTGAGTGATATCACTTTTGCCACTGAGCTGGCTTCCATATAAGGGTGTTTACAGTATCTAAGTTCATGTTTCTCCCTGTTTGCCACTCGGCTGTCTTCCTTTAGACTGCCATCACACCATGGTACAAAGCGCTGTGTCTACGTCCACGTAAGGAGTTTTTGGTCGGTTGTCATGATGATCCGTATACGGGGTGAAAACGGGAGCCGAGGAAACGGGAAACGTAGACGTGGTAGGGATGGGGATACGACTTTTTGGATGAACATGCGTATGTCCCCCAGTCGTTTTTCCAAGTGACCTTGTACGTGCGTTTCAAGTTTCAAATTCCTCCAAAAACGTGACGGCGTGTACGGGCAAAGAATTGTGCCAGTTTGATGACACAACCCGTTTTGGTTTTTTCACCGCAGACGTAGACGTAAACGGGAGTCAGTGACCGTGGTGTGATGACGGCCTTATGGCAGTGCATGGTGTGCAGTCAACTTCACCTATAACGACACTCGGCGGGGCATCAGAAAAGTGTCGTTATTCGCGAAGTGTCGTTACACCCGAAGTCTCAGTATATGTATTACAGTTGGATGGGACTTTGCTCTGGGCATGGAAATTCTGTCGTTATTCGCGAATTGTCGTTATATCCGCAGTCGTTATTAGCGAAATTGACTGTAATCGCATAACCTCAGAACTGCCAGAGCGTGCCACTTCGATCTCCGAGCTACGGGCATTGTGCTTGGAGCGCCATCATCATTGCATAGGGAAAATGAGACGCACAGTGACTGCCCGGATTCCATTTCTCCTACGGGTGAGGCGCAGCAATTCCACAGAGGGCGTGCAATACACGTCGCATTCTGTATTAAAAGAGTTGAACGTGTGACGAGTCTAAAGTCGATGTGCCAAAATTCCCACGTGGCGGGCACAGCGTTTTTTTAAAGTTAACGACACTGCCATTACACACCTGTCTTCTGTTCCACTACCGTATTTCCCCGTAAGTTAGTTCTCCCCAATGACTTAGTACCCCCTATAAAAAATACAATTTCCACTGCCAAGGTTATCACCCCGAAAGACAGTTCCCCCGAAAGAAAGTAAGTTCGTACCCGTCCTACATGTACAGACACCGTACAGTACATACATCATATGCACGGACACTAGAGTTGCGCAGGCTTCCCACTGCGTGTCATTTACCCCCGATAAAAAAGTACTCCCCGAAAGATAGTACCACCCCCGAAAGTTAGTACTCATGTGGCTGCTGAGTTCGAAAGTTAGTACGTACTAACTTACGGGGAAAGACGGTAGTGCAGATGAAAAAAAAAAAATTCGACGGGTTCGCATACCGGGCAGGTCAAGAACAAGGAGTCGTACAACTCCCTGGTCAAGAACCACCTTTCCGGTATGGGCTTTCTGTGCACACTTAGAGGGACTTAAAGGGAAGTTCACCCTAAAATCAAAATTTCAGAACTTGTAGGGATAAATCCACTGATTCCAATGGCGAAAGTCCGAGGTTGATCTGAGCAACCGTTCTAATCTGGAAGTTTAGACTAAATTCGATGACGTCATGATGACATCATACTTTATGACGTCATTGAGATAAACTGATTTTCAAAATTTGATATGGGATATTATGACACCTTACTGGTATCTAGACTGGAAACATATCCCCCAGAAAGCTTGTTGTAGCAACGAAAAACGACATAAATTGGATATTCACCATCTATTCCCACACAAAGTTGATCTCTTTGACGTCACAGGGATGGGCAAATTATGACGTCATCATGATGTCACAGAATTTTGCCAAAACTTGAAGATGCTATAACTCCGGAACGGTTGCTCCAATCAACGTGGGACTTTCACCATTGGGATCAGTGCATCGTTCACTACAGGTTGTGAAGTTTTGATTTTAGGGTGAACTTCCCCTTTAACCCATGGATGGGCATTTTGCCATTCGAGCAGCTCCCATATGAGGTGGATTTGACGTCATTGCACACCCTCTCTTCGTACAAAGACAGTGCCAACTTGCCAGGTACAACACATACTCCTTTCGGAAATGTACGACAAAACACCCCTGAAATCTGGAAACCACAGAGGATATGCAATGACGTCAGATCTGCGGGGAAGTGCATCATTTTTCAAGTAGGGTTCAGATGAAAGACAATTTCATATCAGTTCGAATGGCACATCTCTCACTTGCATGCGATGAGCCAAACTTGCCGAATCGCCAATTTTATGCCCACGTTCCCATAGTGACCAGCGCACTGATGACGCACATTCTGCTTAGCTCCGTGAGAAGGAAGGTCGATCACTGCAGAATTTGGTCATTTTCATTTGGTGTATTGTATTCGCGAAGTGAAGGAAGCGCTGTGTTCCATGCTGTGAGTGCAGTGAACTGTTTGTTAGTAGTCCTCTCAGTTGTGTACAGTCAGACCACCTCGCTTATCCGGATCCCTCGCCATCCGGTAGAAAATTGTTGGTTACCGATTTACAGCATATGCCATGCACACATACAGTATGTGTGTTCGATTATCCGGTTCCCTCGCCTATCCGGATATTTTTCTGGAAAACGGATGTGTGCGGTTATGTGAGGTCTGACTGTACTGGGATGTGACACCGACATGAGAAGGCTGGAGCAGCTTGTGCTGCCGAATGCCAAAGAGCAGGATAGGAATGCACACGGCCTGCGCCAACGTGCACGCTTCCACGGCAGTGTTCTGTGTGTGTGTGGGGGGGGGGGGGGGAGAGCCTGGATGCTCACTACAGTGAAGTCTGGGTTAGAGAGGTGTGCAGTGTGAGTTACCGGCACCCTTTGGTCACGAGTCTCAGCAGGTGCAGGCGCATACTTACGTGGCACGGTGGAAACACGGACGGAGTGGAATGCACTCCGTTGGTCGTAGATTGTGGACGAGACGCTACAGTTGTACACACTGCTGGGTAGAAGGTCGGTGAGCGTGACGGAAAATGTGCTGTTGTTCACGAACTGCAGGGTTGGGGTGAGAGAGAGAGAGAGAAAGAGGGGGGGGGGGGAGAGGGAGAGAGGGATAGAGAGAGAGAGAGAGAGGGGGGGGGAGAGGGAGAGAGGGATAGAGAGAGAGAGAGAGAGAGATGGATAGATGTACAGCTACCCTATCGGGCCACGCCGCTCCCAGAAGCGGGAGACAACGACAAGAAGAGAGAAGAGAAGAGAGAGAAATCGCAAAGCATACACACACATACACACACACACACACATACACACACACACACACACGCACATACACTTAAAGTCACCAACGAGTACTGTGGAATGTTGCCGTCCTTGAGCAAGCTTGTCAAGGACGGCAATATTCCACAGTACGCGTTGGTGACTTTAACATGGATTTCAGCATGCCTGGTAATGCTGCCCACCCTCTTCAGCATATTCTGACGAGATTTGATCTGAAGAATTACGTATCCTCTGCAACACGAGTGACAGCACATTCCCAGACCATTCTCGACCTTTTCCTCCCAACAACAGCTATAAGTGGAACATGTGAAATAATTAACTTCGATATAAGTGATTACTATGCCATATGCGCTCATCTACGGATTCCGTCTAAACCTGCTCGCAAGGGAACATCAACTGTCACGGGTCGTCGTCTCCATCAGATTGACTGGGTTGCTTTCAAACTGATTTACATGGCATACTGTCTGTCGGCTTCGATGATCAAGATGTTGACTCCATGACAACTTCCTTTAACAATGCTATTCTCTCCACCCTTGACCAACATGCACCCATCACCACCCGCCGCCGTGCAGACCGGCGTCCATGTCCCTGGCTGACTCGCGAGCTGGTTGAGTGTGTCCGGAACCGAAACAGACTGCACTGCTGTCTAATGCAAGATAGAGCAAACGAGGCACTCCAGCAGGAGCACCGAGCTGCACGTGTCAAGGCCAGAAAGCTAGATAGACAGTTGAAGAATGCTTACTTTATGGATCAATGCTATACGTCTGATCAGAGGAGACTTTGGTCCGTGATGAACACTGTCACCGGATGAAAGAAGACCCGGCGAGTACCCCAGGCAGGGGCGGATCCAGAGATCTCTACAGGGGGGTTCCGGTTGAACCAAAATTGAACAGCCAAAATATTATGGAATCAGATTGTTTTGAAGTTGTGCGGTTGACACATGTAATTGCGACAATCCGATTGTGTTAGTGGCAATCGCATGCTTTTAAAACACACTACGGACATATATTTTTCCATCATCGACCACACCATAACTGCGCCCTCCAGCCGGCCTCGACACATAACGTTGCCACAGCACACCACCATCGCTGGAGCGCGCAGTTGTGGTGTGGTGGACGATGGAAAGCCTGTACAGGGCCAAATGCTGCTGCTTACCCTACATTGTATATATTATTATTTAGTACGGACACATAATCATAATATACTTGAGTTCATACATGGGTACGTTGAGAGCCAGGAATGCCGAAATAACAACTAAGTTACTTTCCCTGTCCATTTGTACTTTCGGAAAATTTTGGCATTTTTACGATGCGAAATGCTCTATAGTCACAGGACAAGAGCATCGTCTTCACTTCAGTGACAGAAACAACAACAGCGAAACAGTGTCGACAATTGCACAATCCTTCCAATGTCATCTAAAACACATCGCTGGCGCAGCACTCCGTTCCTGCGGAGGAACAACTAGTCACTACTGCATGTAATGCTGCAGCAGGTAGAGATTACTGACTTTGCTTGGGTGTCGGAGCCCTCATCTTCTGAGGAGCTTGAACTCTACGTGTACGATTCGAAGTTCGTTGAAGAGTGTCATCACTCGGAACATCCTTTCTCTTCTGCAAAAAAAATTGTCCAAGGAATACTGACCGCACCCATCCTGAGCAACAGTGAATGACAGCGCCAATGGAGATAAGTTTGGATCGTTTTGAAAGATCAACAAGGAAACAACCACCCAATGTTGTCTACAGTGTCCGTTTGTAAATCACGGACGTCAACACGAGTACAGACTACTAAAAGTACTAGACTACCGATACATGCAGTATCGATCTACCGAACGCGCATGCAGTGCACTGAGTCTGTACTCTTTGACTGCACTGACTGTGCATGTGATCGGACGGACGTCCTTTTGTGCACACATGATATTTTTCCATATTTCTCAGCACCACACTTTGCAGAATTTAGGGGGTTCCATGGAACCCCCGGAACCCCCCCTGGATCCGCCACTGTGTATGGCTATGACCTTATCTCCCTCCTCAACTAGCTCTCCGATGTTGTGCCTACTATGTCTTCTTCACAGATTCTGCCTGAACAGATGCTCATCAATTATGTTCTTGTCCTCTATCCTAGTCCAAATCCTGCCTTGCCCATGCATGACTCTCATGAAATGCCCGTACTAAATAGTCTATAGAACAAGAATATTGGATATCATACTTCTGTCATCAACTATGATAATACCCATTTCATACCTCCCCTTCATAAAATTAATACCTACTGTTTTCTTTTCTTTCCTTTCATCTTCTTTTCCGTTCCTTTCTTCTTCATACACATTTTAAACATTTTCATCATATTGTGAGAGCCGTGGGCCAATAGCCCCGGTGAGAAGGCAGTCTTGCCTGTTCATATGGTGAAGTAAAATATAGAAACAACAACAACAACAACAACAACAACACACACACACACATTCATACACACACACACACTCAGACACACAGACACACAGACACACAGACACACAGACACACAGACACACAGACACACAGACACACACACTCATACACACACACACACTCATACACACACACACACACACACACACACACACACACACACACACACACACACACACACACACCTTTGACCTTTGATGCCCCATCTCCAGTGGAGATGATAGGCTACTGAGTTGGGCAGTATTTGGTGTGACGCTTCAAATCGCCACTTCTCCTAAACGCTCTGCCGCATGCGCAATGAAAGTCCTTCGGTGCCAGGGGAGGAAGACGATGTTGATGGACCCGCCTGCGCCATTCCGGCGATCTTGTGCGAGCCGATACCACTCGGACTCCGGAATATCCAGCGAGCGCAGATCACCGACAATCGTGTCTCGCCAACGCTTCTTTGGCCCATGCCGTGGTCTGGTTGCCTCGAGCTCCCCAAACAACACTTGTTGAGGAATCCGGGCCGCGTCCATACGAGCAACATGACCCAGCCAACGCAGACGGTACTCACGCGGGAGAGTGCCAATGTCCTCAGGAAGACGCGCTCTCTGGGCTAGATCAGCAGTATTAAGATGACGGGAGTGCTGATCGCTTCTTGAGACTCCCAAGATGGAACGGACGCATGAGCGATGAAACAGATTCAGGCGATTCATCTGCTGGGCCTTCATGGGCCAAGTCTCTGCTCCATAGAAGAGGGTAGGGAGGACAATGGCCTTGTAGACAAGACGCTTAGACTTAATGGATAGGTCGCTACACCCGAAGATTGGCTTTTGGAGAGCGCCAAAAGCACGAGAGGCCTGGGCAAGACGGGAGGTGAGCTCCTTGTCCAGAGCACCGTCTGCACTCAGGACACTGCCAAGATAGGTAAAGCTGTCCACAACCTCCACGCTTCCTCCATCCTGAAGATCAATGGAAGGTGGCGGGTCAGAGCAGTTCACCGCCATGGCCTTGGTCTTCTGGACGCTCACAGTTAGACCCCAACCCGAAGCACAGGACACAAACTCGTTTGTCATCGTCTCCACGTGGCTCAAAGAGGTGGTGTAGAGAGCCGCATCATCAGCAAACTGGGACTCTGTGACGTCAGTGGAGGCCAGTCGAGACTTGGCGGTCCGATCTCCAACAAGCTTCCTGCCGACACGGTAGCGGACCCGTACACCCGGAACAGAAGACTGGCGATGCCACGAAGAGACCACTGCAGAGAAATACAGATTAAAGAGCGTAGGCGCCAGTGTGCAGCCCTGACGCAAGCCATTCCGGACGTTGATGTTGTCCGTGACGACGTTAGGGAGCCGAACACGCGCCTCCATGCCTTCATGGAGCGACTGGACAAGGCCAAGCAGCTTCGGAGGAATGCCCAGATTGCGGAGCACAAGCCACAAAGCAGACCGCGGAATTGAATCATAGGCCTTGCGCAGATCGACGAAAAGCACATGTAGCTCAGAATCGTGCTCCACTGCCTTCTCCATCAGTTGTCTTGCGGTGAATACCATGTCACTGCAGCCACGGCCCCTACGGAATCCGCACTGGGAATCCGGCAGAACATCCTCTGCCACCGCCTGCAGGCGACCCTGAAGAACACGAGCAAAGACCTTGCCGACCACATCCAGGAGGCTGATGCCACGCCAGTTATCGCAGGACCGTAAGTCACCTTTCTTGGGGATAGGGACGATCTCTGCGTTTCGCCAGTCAGACACGGCAGAACCGCAGGTCCATACCTCATTGACCACATTGTGGACGCGCTCATGCAAGGCCTCGCCACCAGCAAGAATCATCTCCGGGACAATTCCAGACTGTCCACCCGCAGTGCCTGGGTGTAGCTTCCTGATCGCCGATACCACTTCCTCAAAAGAGGGTTGTTGAGTGTGTTTTTACACACACACACACACACACACACACACACACACACACACACACACACACACACACACACACACACACACACACACATGCACACCCGCACACTCACGTACACACACGCACACAAATATCCGCACCTCCTCCCCCCCCCCCACACACACAAGCACGAGCAGCAAACATAGATTCGCCCGAGGGCGCGGTAGTCAATGACAACGGCACGCTTCGACAAATACATACATAGTCTTGAGTGCGTCGCGGTGCTCCATTATTTGCCGTTGAAGAATGACACCAGGCTACGAAGCCGTCATGGCTGATATTACCCGGGATGGGTGCCTCCCAGGTGAGCTGAAGCGATGTTAATGTCGGGCTGCTTACCACTGCAATGTTCTGCGGGCGATTAGGAGGATCTAAAAATGAAATGAAAAAAACTCGGATGTTGAGCCAATTGTAAATTATCATGTAAAGAGAAAAAGGATCTATGCGTTACTAGTTCTGTTTAACAGTCTACTTGTTGTCGCACTATCTGATTGCATATTATGATCTCGTTACCTTGGTTACCTTGGTGGACTGTTAGTCATAACTAGTAACTTATAGGTCCTTTTCTCTTTACTTCGAAGTACATGAAATGAAATTATAATGGTATAACAGGCAAAGCCGTCACAATGGAGAGAGAGAGAGAGAGAGACAGAGAGAGACCGAGAGAGACCGAGAGAGAGAGAGAGAGAGAGAGAGAGAGAGAGAGAGAGACAACTACTACTAGTACTCAGGGGCGTAGCACCCGCTACGACTGGTACGACCATGGCCGTACCACTTTTCGAAAAGTGTGGTCCGTCCGGAACGTGCAAAACCGTAATAAAAAAATCGGGATCCATCGATGCATATGCGCATCTTCCTTTGACCTTTTTCCTGACTCGTACTCGTAGATCTACTCGTTGATCTGCCATGCATCTGCAGTCTTACTGAGTACTGTTCTCGACTCGACTGCACGCTGCACAGTCATACACAGTCATGCACAGTCATGTCACGTCAGTGCAGTGCATACGATACTGCCGTCGCGACTCGTAGATCTACGAGTACGAGTCGTGCGTGCCAGATACTGGATACTGCACTGGCATGGTACATGTCTATGCATGATCCTATGCATGATCCTATGCATGATCCTATGCATGATCCTATGCATGATCCTAGGTCCTGCCTTGCTTGTTGTACTGAACTTTTGCAAAAAAAAAAACAAAACTAGGCCAGGAAGTTGCACGGTACGGACTCTTCGGTCAGTTCGTTTTGAGATCGGTGATGGCGGAGGCACCTTGGCCAGAAGTTGGCGAAGAGCCGTTTCAGCCAAGAGGCAACGAGTTTACGAAGCGAAGCTACGGAGTGAAGGTAGTTGTGTTTCGCCGTTTTCAGCCCGAGTGGTTTGATCAGTTCCCCTGGCTTCACTGGGACGTTGGCAGCGAGAAAGTGTTTTGCTACGATCTCTGATCTGATCTCTTCAGGAAATGCGGATTTGACATTTATCTCGACAGGCTTCCAGAATTGGAAAGAGGCAAAGCGAGTGATAACAAGCCACGCTGTGTCAGGATGTCACAAAGAGGCTGTGGAGCGCTTACAGCAAATCCCTCAAGCGGTCGGTGATGTTGGGAGCTGTTTGACTCACAACTAGCGAAGCAACGACAGCAACACCGCCAGTGCTTCTTCAAGATCCTGCGGGTGCTGAAGTTTCTGGCCAGGCAAGGACTTCCTCTTCGAGACGCAACTAAGGAAGATGGTGAAGTTGACGGGCACTTCATGCAGTCGCAGCTCCTACGTGTCCATGCACGTCTCTTCTGACCATGAAATTCTATGACTCAAGGAGGCTCCAACCTTCTGCGCTGCGCAGCCGGTCTGGCGCTCTGTTTTTTGCAGGCAAAAGTCTTGTTTTTGCCGATAAGTGCGAAAAGTTGGGAAATTCCCATCTCAACTTACTAAAATCTGAACTCCGCGATCGACAGTCATATCAGAGAATATTGTTTCATTCTTCACCTGTAGTCTTCCCTTGGCCCCATCGAGGTTCCTGTTGTTTTCTCTTCCGTTGTGTCAGTGGATATCAGGGCATGTTGTCAAAAGCATCGCTGGTGTGAGCAAGAAGTTGACTTCACAGCTCGATTTCTCGAGATCCTGAATAATTTTGCTTGACGAAAAAATGACCAAGGAGAACAGAGCCAAGCGTCTCGATGGCTGTGTAACACCAGGGACCAAAACCTACTGTAAGCGCGTTTTGGAGAGAGAGACTGAAGTGGGTGCACAGACTCTGGTAAGTGGATCCACTTCTAATTCTCAAGTGGCGAAATATATTGCTACGCTGAAAACATTGCAGTCTTGAGTGAGTGGTAAATCGTTGGTGAGCTACTGCTCAGTGACTTGGGCTATTTACGAAAGCTGTGACCTGTCAGCTGCCAACGTCATCAGCAGTAAGTCATCACCTGCGTCCACTTGAATAATATAATGTGCATAAAATGCAGCACTGAAAATTGAGTATGTTGTTTTGCAGTACTATTCTGTCAGAGTGTGAAGTATTTTGTAAATGTTGTATTGTACAGCACCAGTGATTTGAAATTTGAAAAAAAAACTGTGCCAGAAGTTCCCAGAACGCAGGATTTTGTGTCCTTTTTACAAAATTTTCCTGCGGGATGTCCCCCGAACCCCCCCTCTAACACGGCCTTTGGCCGCGCCGACCTTTGGTCGTACCACTTCCAAAAACCCTCCTACACCCCTGCTACTACTACTACAGTTGTCCCTCTCTAATCCGGCACCTTTTGCAACATCATTTTCTGCTGGATAAACAAGGGTGCTGGATAATCAAATCCGGCCCTCCAACCCGGCCCACCTGTTAACATACATGTTTGTGTCGTACGTCAAAACGTAGGGATTTTCTGTCTGTGTCATTCCAAGTACTTTGTGGAACGCATGTCTTCAACATACACTTGGGAATATCCTATGCACTAGCATAGGATATTCCCAAGTGTATGTTACATGTGTTGTGTATGTTACAATGCTCCCTGACCGTATGCGAAGTACAACTGCTGGATTAGAAAATCGAATTATGTAAAGTTTGAGTGATTTGTTGCAGAAAATCGCTGCTGGAGGCGGAATTCAAGTGCTGGATTAGAGAGAAGAAAATGAACTGAAAAAATCCGTTTTTCCAAAAAGTGTGCTGGTTTGCAAGGGTGCTGGATAAACAAGTGCCGGATTAGAGAGGAACGACTGTACTAGAAGCAGAAACGGGCCAACCTACAACCAACGTGTGATTGATGTTGAGCGAGGCACCTTCACACCTTTGGTTTTCGCGACCAATGGTATGTGCGCTTCCGAATGTTCCCGTGCTCTAAAGAACATTGTTCAGCTCATTGTCGAGAAGCAGTCAGAGCTTAGTTACGCAATAGTAACGTCGCATTTGCGCTGCAGGATCTCATTAATTATTTTACTCCGCTGGCTGATTACTTGCTTTCGTGGGCGCAGAGCTTCATACTGCCCAAAGCGTGTAGCAATTTCATTCCTGGACCAATCCCAGTGCAGAGCTTCATACTGCCTAAAGCGTGTAGCAATTTCATAACTGGACCAATCCCAGTGCAGAGCTTCATACTGCCCAGAGCGTGTAGCAATTTCATTCCTAGACCAATCCCGTTTGCTCGGCTGTTGTGAGTGGAAATATAATTATAAGGCCCTTCATATGTTGTGAAGGCCTTCTGGTAATCTCAATATCTTCCTGCTGTAGGTATACTCACGGTGACTATGTAATACAATAATATTTGCCTGCACCGTTGTGGGTTCATACATGAATAAATGAGCTAAAACATGACCACAGCTTTTTTTGGAAAAAGTCGAGAAAATCGCGATTTGAATTCCACGGCAAAAAAATACGAAGTGCAGTGCAACGCGAGTCGCTGTTGTTGTTCTCCTTGGTCGACTGGACTGTTCCGGATGCAATTCTTTGTTGCAAGTAAGTTTATTTGTTTGAGTTTGTATTCCATGTTGCGCTGAGTCGCCTAAAGCTGATCGTCATCGATGTATCGACGGAAGAGCCTAGTAGTAGTAATGTACTGCGGGGCGGAAGAAGACGACATCCTCGCACTCCATGCGCAGGATAAAATATTTTGAGGATTCAGGTCGGAAACAGAAGGAAGACGATGATGGCTACAGCGACGAGTCATTTGAGGGTGACACTTTCATCGAGCGTATAATAATTGATGCTGGTAGTCCCACGATCTGCAGTGACGAGGAATTCTACTCTGATGACAACCTGGCAAGCGATTGGCATCGACACTGACTTGGGAGGTGAGTCGGCCGGTGATTTGGTCAGAACGGACATTGCTGCACATATCCGGAACAAGAGGGAGAGGGTACTTGCCAGGGCGATCCTTTGGCCATGGCACTGTTTGCGCTGGCTATTAGCCCTATGATCAAACGCCTGTCAAGTGACCACCCATCTATTGGCCAGTGCTGGTACGCAGATGACGGCAAGGCTGGTGGAAGGATGATGGACGTGCACAAGTTCAAAGGGCTGGTTGGCTTTGTCTGACTTTGGACCGCAGTATGGTTATTTCCCCAATGCCTCAAAGACAACACTCCTTGTCAAGCCGGACTTGGAGCGGGCGGCCGTTGATATGTTCGATTCCACCGGTATTGCAATACGAACTGGTGGAGCGAGGTACCTGGGAGGTGCTGTTGGCCAGTCGACGTTCATTGCCGATAATCTCGATAGCCACATTGCGAGTTGGGTGCGGGAGATGAGCCTCTTGGCTGACATCTCACTTACACAGCTCCACGCCGCATATTCCGCATTTGTCCATGGTATGAAGAGCTAGTGGAATTATCACATCCGAAGTCATCCAGGGTTGGCTTCTTCGTACAGACCACTGGATGATGTTATAAATAATAAATATATCCCCACATTAACTGGCCGGACTGAGGTTTCTGATTCGGAGCGGAAGCTGCTGGCATTACCAGTGCGATATGGTGGCCTCGCTATTCCTGTGGTGTCGGAGGACGCAGAGGTGCAGCGCCGTATAAGTGAAGTTGTCACTGGGCCCGTCGTGTGAATGCTGCGGTCGGGGTCCAATGTGTTGACGCCGGCTCGGATTGTTTCCGACACCAGCCTTCTCCGGAGAGATCAGAACAATCAACGTGCTGCTATGCATAGGACCCAGCTGTCAGAGCTGGCCCCTGCCCTAAGTGGCCCTCAGCGTGTTCTGCTGGAAACCTTCAGAGATGCCGGTGTGGGAAGTTGGCTTACGGCGGAGCCGCTTGCCCCCTGTGGATTCGTCCTGAACAAGTCCGCCTATCGTGATGCAGTGGCAATTCGTTACGGCTGGCCACTGGATGAATTACCATAATCTTGCGTATGTGGAGCGGCCATGACGCTCGATTACGC